GGCGTGATACAAAATGAAAATCACAACAAAATCTGCTACGAGCGAAGAAAAAAGGAGCATAATTATCTCAAACAGTCATCCCGCTGGATGAGTTATCAATGGGAGATGTCGATCGATAGATTTCGTACAACTGGTGTAGCATGCTGCAGTGGACTGCAGCATGCTGCACCGAGACCGCAGCATGCTGCACCTAGTATGAATGCGGCCACTCAGCGTTTTTGTCGTTTTCTCGCGTCTCCATTAATAGGCATCCCACCGCGAAAAGGATTGAGGGCAGACGAAAGAGCACGCCACTCCTAAATGCCTCCTACTGCTAGTGATACAACAGGATACCTAGCGAACTCTGTCGGGTTAAGATTGAATCAATCGTGTGAAGATCTTTTACAAGATATTGTTGATCTCACCGCTTTGATTCCCATTAAAACAAAGTAGCAAATTTATTGCAAGCTTGGATTTCCTACAATACCACATAGATTTCCTGTTGTTCTATGCAAACGTTTCATTGATGTTTGGACAAAGATCAAGCCTTCACTCCTCTCAGAGTACCTGGACTGACCAACGAGCGACAATCCTCGCTGAGTTGCTACACATTACTGCACATCCTTCGTCTTCCGCAGCTTTTCCCGTCTATCTGCTCAAAATACGAAGTTTTCTAAGTTGGAAGAGGTCTCTCTTTCTGAAGATTCTTAGATTCTTGAACTCGTTCGAATGTCTACTCTTGACGAGTGAGCACTCTGAAGGAGAGTGGCTGCTTTCATGGACCGCCGGCCGGCCGGTGGACTATGGAAGCAGCCACTACGACAACGAGCGGACACGCCCTCCTCTTGCTGGTGACCACGGCACGCGGACTGCTTCGCTGCTTGATGCTCTCAGCAAGGGATATTCTGGATGAGAACAGCCCTGTAACCTGTGCTTCCCCGCGTTTTGGTCCAGGATCACTCTAGATATTGATTAAAGCCCGAACGGAACACACCTTGCGATTCGCTCAAAAAACAGCTCTGGGTGGCCGCGTGCTGTACGCGTGAGTGGCTGATTTCGAACTTCAGTGATTCAACAGACATATGTACGCCCGTCCGTTACGTCCACGCGTGCGTCCGGCCGTCCGTCCGTGCGGGCGTGAGAGCGAACGGCGACCGGACGCTGCCGCGTCGATTACGACGAAAGCGCCGGGCTCATGCGCCAGCCGGCACAATAACACTGGTATGGGTACTTACGTGCGTCCGAGGATGCGCGCGTCAAATTGCGCGGCGAAGTGCGTGGTGATTCGAACGTCTCTGGCGCCTATCATTGGGGCTCAAACTCGAAGTAGAGTAGATTAGTAGGGTCAGCTGATACTACTAATCTACTCTACTTCAAATTTGCGCCCCTTTGATAGGCGCTAGAGTTGTTCGAACCACCACGCACTTCGCCGCGCAGTTTGCCGCGCGCACCCTCGGACGCACGTAATTTCCGTCCCCCCAATAACATACGGTGGCGAATGATACGAAAAATATAGGATATTCACAAGATGTTAAAATTCAACTTAGGCCTAAAGCTCGTCGTGCATTGCTAGGCATTTCTTTATGTACAACGAATCAAATACCTAATAAACAATTACTTAGGCATACTTATCAATTTTACAATATTGATACAAAATGAAAGAAAGGAAAGATGACCTAGCGACCTACGTTAAGGTAAATCTAACGCGTGCCCACACACCTTCAAATGTATGGACACGTGTACATAAAAGCGAAGAATCGAATGACTAAAAAACAAACGGAAGTACTGATCATCACTATAAGCTGTCTGATTGCAACAACATGGGCGGATACGCTTCCAATATAACACGGTCCATAACTAATCACACATAAGAAAATAAGAAAAGGCCTAATTGTAGAAAATAGAATCACTAATAAATGACCTTAATGAAATGTTATTTTTACGGACATAAACGAATAGATCTAGCCACCTAGTATGTTAACAATTAAAATGTAAAATAATCTGAATGGTCCCAACATGGACAGAATCGTTGTGACGTCTCAATATAGCAACCGACAGAGAAAGGTGGCCGGTCTTCTAAGACTGCTTGAGAATAACATTCTAACCAATGTAAGTAAGACAGTGAAGATTTTAAGAACGGAGAAATCACCTCTCCATACCAGGCAAGCAAGTTCTGATCTAATACGAACACAGTGACGCTATTTTTCTAAACAGTTGGTAGGCAAACTAAAATTTGAAGGATCAGCGAACAAGAGAGCCATACGGCTTGAATATGAATGTACATGACTAAAGAAAGGATGACAACTCTAGGGTTTTTGAGCATTGTGAAACCGTCCTAGAAATACATTGACGGCACAGAATTTATTGATTCTGTATACATGGTCACAGGACCTATGGGGAAAGGGCGTGAAAAAATCAAATTGTCCAGCGTTCTCTGTAGTGCCGGCGCACCAATTGATTGCGATGCTGTTGAAGATAGCAATGATCTTGACGACGACGGTGAGGAAGACGTGGATGGCGTTGACAATGACGAAGGGGACAATGACGGTGGGGCCGCTTGGACGCCTGCACGTCCACCGGATCGTGAACGAGGCGGCGAACAAGGCACCCGCAAGTACGGTTCTGTCATTTCTTCTAGCAGGTTCTGCTAAAAATGTACGATGATGACTAAAATAGGCGTTGTTTCTGGGCTTGTTAAGGTATGAGCTAACGAGTACGAAAACCCGTAATTAGAAATCAGATTGATCCTTTAACCCATTGACGACCAAGACGTTTTGCGGCAAAACGCCGTGAGGGACCGGCGCGCTTTTCGTCCACCAGCGACTGCAGCCCACATGTGGACTTCATGGTCCAGCATGACCATTTTTTGAAGTTTATAAGAAAAGATAAATTTTTAAGGATGTTCCTTCAAATGGGTTTGGTGAGAGTGCCCCCAGTGAGTGATTATTGATCTTTACTATAGAACCGGCACTCGTTCTGGTGGTCATTCAATTATGAGTTCAATCATTACCAGAAATCGCTTCGGGGAACTTTTATTTGCGTTGCGTTGGGAGCTTTGCGTTTGGACCAAAAAATTTGGTGCGAAAATGCTAATGACGACCGTCTTTTAGAAATATCCATTTTTTGAAGATGTTCAACGAACGAAGAATTCACCAAGGTAATGTACTCTTTCGAAAAAACACCTTAACAATTGTAAAACTAGAAGATTTTCCAGGACCACGCTGTATGTAGTTCCATTTAGGCCTGATGTAATGTTTTTAGAAGAAAAATTGTAAAAAAATTGGAAATATAGATGAATAAAACAAAAAATACAATTGCAGCCCACATGTGGACTGCATGGCCCCACATAGCCGAAACAGTGCAGTCCACATGTGGACTGCATGGTCGTCAATGGGTTAATCATGAGCTAGCATGGTTGCAATTGGTATGTAGCTTTTGTGGACCATGAGAGTAACAACATATACTGATTAATAATAATCAGTCACTCCCATAGGAGCGTATTTGTACAACTGAGAAGTTTAGGACGCAAGGAGGGGAAGAATGAAGTCAGCACACCGGTCAAGATGTGGGCTTGCAAGACTGTGTTCAACTAAGTAACTCAAGAAAACCTGGCTCAACGGGTGAAGGTAAGAATTAAGTCATCTCATTCGATCGTTCGAATGCTTTTCTCGATTAAATGAGCAGCAAAGAGCTAAGAAGCTAATATTTTAGCATTCAGTCAAATAGGCCCCATTATTACAGCGCCTCATTCACAGCGTCGAGGAAGCGGAAGCACCTGAGCACCAAATAGCTCTTTCCCTTCATTACGTGCGGTTGAGAAACTGCTAAGGCCTGTTGTCGACGGTTGCGACCGGTTGTCAACGACTTTGCCAGCGACATGTGCAGTCCGTTGAACAAAACAGATGAGGTCTAATGCTGGTACTTTAATACGGCAGTTGAATCTAGGTTTCGTCAACTTTTCCTCAGAAATCTGCTACACAATTCGAAGCAGGGGCCTCGTGTGGCTTGATGATCACAAACGATAATTTTCTTCTCGTAAATGTGTGCTGCCCTCTAGTTGTCAAAATTATCACCGAGAGACTGATGATAGACTTCAACAGCGATGGTATTTCTCTTGATTAAAATCGCCAAAACATCACGCCCTAAAATAAAAGACCACTCAGAACCACGAGGCTTTACATGTGTCATCATTCCTGGCGCCACCTCATCAGCGTCTTTTCAAACCTGACGCTTGCCAATTTTAGGCTCTGCGTACAACTCTGCCCCCCCCCCCCCCCCCCCTGTTTCGAAAAATAGCCAATGTCCGCTTCAAAAATGGAGGATGACTTTGGTGGTCAGACTGTCACTGCAGGCATTATTTCAGTTATGAGCTTCTGCTTCCGCAAGAAACTGAGGTACCTATACACACATCTACGTGACCGTCGTTGATTCTTTGTGAACAGTTCGGTCGAGGAACTCCGAGATGCAGTTCTCGCGGGGATGTTCCATAATGGTCCACCTTTACATTTCACCACTCGGTGCTTAATTTCACCTTACCCACTCTTCTGAGCAGAGCAAACATTGTGGGCACAACGTAGGCCTTTCCTTGCGTCCGTACTTCCTTCCTTGAATTTTGGAACCTATTTTTAGACATTAGCTTGAATAACGCAGTGCCCCTTGAATGTTGTTCCAATACGTGAAAATATGAGCAGGTTTTCCTTTTACGTTGGCAACTTTAAAAATCCCGAGTTGATTTTGACAGCTTGTTTCTTCCTAGTTTTTGAACATTTTTGCCTGCAGCCGGGATCACAAAAATGGGCCGTGACTGTACTGGCTTCCGATCGGAACAGTATCACTAGTGTTACCATCTTTCCTTTTCCCACCTCTCCTTTGAATGTCTGCGTACCTTTGAATGAGATGACCTAATAGGTAAGGTAGCACAGTATTTATTTGGCAAAATATAACAAAAACCGTACGATCTTACTGCAAATCACTTCACGCTCAGAAAGATGCAGGAATAAAGCTTCGAAAACATGGAATTCGTTTCATAAAGCTAAGAGCCATCTATCCAAAAAACTACGAAGGGCTACTAAACAACGTGACTTATAATTCAAAAAACAAATAAATTTAAGGCTATGAATGAAAGACTTTGCGACGACTAATCGTAGCCAGCAGTCTTGCTTTCTTAATGCATCCCCTTACAGATACCATATCGCGATAAAGCTTTGCTTAAGATATAGTTTGCAAAAGAGCTTTCATTCTGAATAAACACAGTGGCCATATCACCTGTATCACCTGTCGTCCCGTTGATCATCGAAATCCTCGAGCGGGCGCCAGTAACGTCTCCATTCGTCCCTGTCACGAGCCAAAGTGGTCCAGTGAACCGTTCTCGCTTCAGGGACACGAGGTTCAACATTCCTTTCGTTCAGAGCTTTCGTGAAGAAGTCTGACCATCTCGTCGGCGGCCTTCCTGGTGTTCGTTTGATGTCCCGAGGGATCCAGTCAGTAACCGCTCTGGTCCAACGGTCATCACTATATCGCATAACGTGTCCGGCCCACCTGATCTTCGATTTCTTGGCGTAATCAACGGCATCCCTGATCTTCGTTCGGTGACGGAGCTCGGAACTCCGGATTCCCTTCTGCACTTGCGTGTATAGGGAAATTCCGAGCATCGTCCTTTCCAAAGCGCGTTGAATAACGCTGACAGCATGCTCATCCTGCTTTCGTAGAGTCCAGGTCTCCGAGGCGTACGTCAAAGCAGGAAGGACAGCAGTGTCGAAAAGGTGAGCGCGGAGCCGGATGTTCTTTGTCTTCTTCACTACTCCCTCGATATTCTTAAATGCTCCCCACGCGGCGCGTTTTCTTCTGCACAGCTCTGGAGCTAAGTCGTTCATCATGTTGACTTCCCGAGTGGCCATATATACTTCGGAAATTCGAAGGATTCGAAGTAAATGAAATTCCATAATAATAAATAGGTAGATATAAATAGGTGAATGATGAATAGGTAACCATTTTCATACTAACTCTTGATAGGTCCCTTTTGACTATGAGGCTACGTCAAAAACTTCATTTTGCTCGGCTAATTTGTCAGGAAGTAGGACATGAACTGGATAGACGCGGGAGCCGAAGCCACTTCCTAGCCTTCCGCGTAGCATAAGACGCTGAAGAGGGGTCGTGCCGATGGCTTAGCAGCCTCTTCAATTCATCGGCTGACATTTGGTGGACTTTCTGTTGCGGTTGAGTACACGCCTGTCTTTCATGCGCATTAGTTTTTTGTGCTATCGATCCGCTGTCGAGAATACTATCCACTCAGCACCAAGAATATGCCGGTCATCGCCCCCGATGGACGCGTGACCTGACACGCCTATATCGTCACCGTAGGGTATGCCCGGATGTATGTCGTTCGGCGCGGCCCCCCCCCCGCCCCATCGCGCCGCCCATTCTATGCGATTTGTGAGCTGGGCAACTCGTCCTAGTGATTCACCTCCTGACCATGTTGATCGACGCAAATAGATAAAATACTTTGTATGACTGCAATTGACGTCATCCATTTGTATGTATGTATGTACGAGCGTACCACGGTTAGGAGGGCGAATCGCGAGGAGCTGCCCAGCTAAGAATCCACGCCGAAACCGTCTCCTGATATGCCTTCTTTAGCCTGCGCAAAACAACGCTCATACAAAATCGAAAATTTTGATGAATAAACCATAACGAGGACTTTTATAACGTTGCGTTAACAAAGAAAAATGAATGTAGTAGAAATGAAGTAGATCCAAGCCATTTACCGCTAAGGCAATGCGCATATGAAGCGCAGGGTTGATACGAGGATCAGTTGGTCTCCTTCTACAAGGCACTTTTGGAGGAGAGACCCACGGAATGAATTGCAGCTCCGCGATAGTCGGACGTTCATCAGGATCCCGTCGCAACAGCCCGAAAATTAACGCACGAGCTGGAAACAGGAGTAAAAATTATTCGGTAGACCGAACTGTGATATTTACTACTCACCGCCGGCGCTCAGATGCACATCCGGAGGAAGGACCACCTTGGCCACACGAATCTTTGAAAACACACCAGCTGGGGTCTCGTCATAAAAAGGGTATCGACCAAGCAGCAAAAGATAAAGTAGTATACCGAGACTCCACACATCACACGCTTTACCGGAGAAATTAGTAGCACGATTCACCACCTAAAAATGTAATAGAGACATGAAATGAAATACTGAAGCTATGTCACCTCTGGGGCAGCAAACGCAGGAGTACAGTATTTGTCCACCATGCGGTCGTCCGATGGATTATCGCAAACGATGCAATCTAGTACGTTTTCCAAACGTACACGATTCTGCTGATCGAACACGAGCTTACGTGGTTTTAGATTACGTACAACTATTCCCAGTGCATGGCAAAACGCAAGAATACGCACAATCTGGAATATTGTCGGTACAATGAGTAGCTTGACGTCACGAACATCTTGCTGAGTGTATTACTAGAAATTTTCGCACAGAAGGGTTCACGAACCATGACACGATGAGGCGCATTCAATGCTAAATTAAGAGAGAACTTCTTGTTCACCGTTACTGTGTACTTTATCCTACTCGTTCTGTTTTTTGGTGTGGAAAAATCTAGTCGTACACACTCATCTGGCCACAATGCTTTCTTTACAACTCAAGAAGCGAGCAGCAACAAACGATGAAATGACCTAAGCAGTAGCACTCCTTGTATCTGCTGACGTTAGCAGATTATAGGTGTTTAACAAACACCTATCCGTATCTTCGCTCAAACGGGCTGGTTCTTCTGCATGAACGCTGTGCTGTGTTCGCTGCATCCGAATGCGCGCCGAGAAGGGGAAGAATGGAGTTTATAGTAAAGGTTACGGCAACTGCAGAGGAACCACTGCCGCTTCCAATGAGAATTTGGGTGAAATACCGCCACCCCTTTCCCAACACATCTTACAAAGCGTTCTATATGACAGGCGGTTGAAGACATCATAAACGTGACACAGACGAGACAAGTGGCCCCTTATACATGTGGTTTCAGGGTCACTGGTCACTTCGAGTGAAATGACCCAATTTTTATTTTTCTCGAAGTTCTCCTACGTAGGCATTTCACTTTCAAGGTAATAGAGCACAAAGACAGTCAGAGACAATCTTTCATTACCGCAACACAGGAGTTTGAAGGAAGAACATGGTGGGATAGACTTCTTCATGAGAACACTCGAGGTTTTTTATCCCATTTCAAGACCACTAAAGAACATGCACTTCCGTATTGCACAACTTACTCGGCTAGCTCAATAATTAGTAACATTTCCTGGACTACTTTGTTCAAGGCTTATGTTGGTTAGAAAAATTTTTAGCAAAACGGCGCTAAAGCCGGAACTTGAAATTTTGAAAAAGCTAGTATTCTTCTATTGCTTGCCTCACCGGGAAAACACTCATAAGTATTCTGCACTTTCCTGATACTGTCCTGAAAATGATCCAGTTGTCCGTTGAAATGTTGGGGTGTTGGAAAGTACCATGAAGAAGAAAAATACAAACTTCTTTTGACAAGTTGACGGATAGACCGTTTATCGTTTGCGCGCCCACGGAACGAGACCGTTTGAAAACGCTGGCTAGTAGACGGACCCCATTTACCACATCGTCCCACGGAATAGACACCATATTTAGCTTGTTGTATTCATCCTACTCACTATAAAGCGCTTCGTCTGTCGTCTGTCGTTCCATCGTCTATCGTTACGTACAGTCGCGGTCGAAAGTTTGGAAACTTTTTATTTTCGATATAGCGCGGGCCCTGAATTACGTAACTGTCTCAATTTTGCATTGTAGGTATAAAAGCAAATAAAGAACACGATAGTCAAAGTGTTTTTTCGAGATTAGATGATTAGAATTAAAAAGCACGATTTATCGTGAACAGGGCGCGTCGTCACAATAACAGGAGGAATTGATCATGGTAATATGAATTTACAAACAAAATATCATTACTTCGTTGGATACCCAAGGGAATCGACTACTGCTTTGCATCTTCTTGACATTGAATCGATTAAAGGCACCGTTCACGATTATTTTGGGTAATCCAGATTATGATGAAAAATGGAAGACAAGATCGAAACTAGTGCGACTGAGGTGAATAAACTGCGTGCATCGGTGTTTCCAAAGTGAAAAAAGGCTCCGAAAAAACGTTAAAAAGGGGGCCAGACGAGAATGAAACCAGAAAAATAAAGAAGAGTGGGGTGTCCGGACGAGCTAAATAGTGCGCTTCACTGCGCGCGTGTGGGTCCTGGTGCGAAGAACAGACAATGGTAAGCAAAAATTCATTCACTTATAAGCATAAATAAACAAAAAACCCTAGTAACAGCAAAAGTAGCTCACCTTTTTCAGCCTTTAGGAGTAGGAAATTAAATAAGGGATCGCGGCAGCAAAAAGAAAACAGAGGAAAGAAGAATGGGAGAAAAACATCGCCTCATCACTCGGCGATTAGCTGATTGTGCATGGGTCCTAGAACGAATAATAGCAATCTGTATTGTCTCGACACTCGTCTAACGTGACACCGATCGAGGGGCGGGAACGCGAACTACGGCAACAACGGGGCTGCCACTATGCCCTGGACGTCGAGATTGGAGGAGTGGAAGGGTCCCTTCTACAACCCATGGGGGCCGCTGAGTATTAATAAGGTAAGAACTCAATGACTTTTTTATCGTGAACGGTGCCTTTAAGGCTTCAATTTTGGACTGTGGTATCAGAGCCCACTCTCTAGACAATAGATTGAATTTTTCTTCGGTATTCCCAACAGGAACCTGGCTTGTACGACGTGCTAGTTCTACCCAAAGGTGCTCCCAAAGTCCCAATAGGATTCAGGTCCGGGCTCTGACTCGGACACTCCATAACGTTGAGTTCCTTTGGCTGGAGTCCACGAGACGGGAAGTGTGCTTCGGGTCATTATCGTGTTAAAAATCCACCGTGTCGGCAGGTTTTGATTTTCGAACGGGAGCATAATATTCTCCAAGATGTCCTTGTACTGAGCCGAGTTCATATTATCCTGGATACGAACGAGTGGAGCCGGATAAACTGGAACATGCCCATAGCATAACGCTTAATCCACCGTGTTTGACCGTCGGGATTTGGTACTTCTGATCACATCGTTTATTCACAGGATGCCTTATATACATTATGTCAGCACTCCCGAAAAGGCAAAACTTCGACTCGTCGCTACACAACACTTTTTTCCAGTCATCTCTATTCCAGGCGAGAGTCGGGCCTTCCGGTTCTCTGCGGTGACCAGTCGTTTTTTGCTTGGACGTCTTTCAGAGTCCTCCGGCTCTGAGCCGACGTTGGATAGTGCTTTCGCCGATAGAAATCCCAGAAAAAAAGATGTTACTTGTCTACGAATATCCGCAGCCGTCGCGCGCGGATCGCCCGTCGAAGTCCTAAGAATCAGAGAGTCGACTCTTGGTGTTGTCTTTCGTGGTCTTCCAAAGCGAGACTCCCTCATCACAAATCCTCGGCTTCGATAACGCTTGAAACCCTTGGAAATCGTGCTTTTAGCGAGTTCATATTGTTGGGAAAGCACACCCATCTTCGTACAGGAACGAAAGGTTTCAATAGTTGCTTCCTGGACGGATACTGGAACTTCTTTACCTGAACCCATCTGAAAACCGCCCATTATACCATGCTTTGATCAAACATTACGAAAAATCCACAAACCTGGACAAGAAGAAGCCAAAACGTTATGGCAGGTAGCAAGTTTCCAAACTTTTGACACGCTCTTCTTCGAACTTTTCTTATTTTAGTAATCAGACTTTTGATTTTCGTAAAACCACATTGCATGCCATATTTCCCACATGATTTTATATCTAATATGTAACTTTGGGATAATTACGATCTTAACTGGCCGCGCTATTCGAGAAATAAAAAAGTTTCCAAGCTTTTGACCACTACTGCATGTCTGACACGAAATTCCTTAGCTCCTTTAGATCTGCCTGGAGTGACCGGGTTAGGCGTAGGATGAGTGGGCCATGTCCCGAGAAGTATAAAGCACACATCAGCTTGGCGGAGCCCCGCCCACAGTGGACGTGGCGTGCATCGAAATGAGCTGCACTGAGGACCATGATTTCAAATTCAGTCACAAGACGGTTTCAAAACTGGGGTATGAAGGTGGCCAGAGGTGTGCATGGGCAAGTTAGATCCAACTGCGGAGACCCACCTTCGATGGGCGGGGCGTTCTCTAAAAATGCAATGCTTTATGAAAACATTTTGGAAAATCATAACTCTTGTCCTCGTGGACCTGGAAAGTTCAGACTTTGTAGGAGTACAGGCGACAGGATGGGAACACCTATGATTGGTGACAGGACCAGACTCCGCCCACAGGAGGCGGGGTTTGAGCGGAAACTCATCCCCTAAGCCCTTAAGGCACGCGATAGCGTGCGTGGCCGTCTGTAGAGAATAAGCTATTATGCGTGCCGAAAAATGAATACTTCTGGAAACAAGAAACTTGTATTCCGTTAAGATTCGAGCGACTTCGAATAGGGTACAATCATAAAAGATACTATTTAAACGCTTGGTGCGAGCAAGATTATAGCGAAGGCGCCAATTGTTGGGTCGAGTTGAAATTGTCTGTGAATAACAATGATCCCATTTACATCCGGAGTCGTAATTCTTATCGTCAAGAGTAGGTTCTATTACCAATGATGCTGATGTCCTGGAAATAAGTTTTGACGATTTACTGTTCGACGGCGACGTTGACGACTTCTATGAACGCGAGGAATAAGAGGTATCTGTTCCTGCAGTTGTGCGGGATCAGGAAGACTTTGATAGAGATGACACCGGCGAATGTGATAACGTAGTGATACAGAAAATAATAGCTGGACTGACGATGAACATTCGAATGACAGATGGTTTTTCGACGAGCCGACAGGAGTAAATCAAGGTGTGGAATTCTGTTCAACACCTCTAGACCTCCTTTACGAACTGTTCTTCCCGCTCGAGATGGTTGCAAAACAAACGAAAATGCATGGCTATCAGAAGAGTCATTCGAGAGAAGAGACAGATACTGAGTAACTGGAAAGACTTTTCGGTTTCTCCCTGATAATGTCCAGGGGTTGTCCCCTAGACGACCAGTCACTTGAACCTAGAAACTTAGCCAGAAATGGACATTCCATAGGCTGCTTTCACAGTCCACGACCAGTCGCGCGGCCGGCCGCGCGACTGGTTGCGCGATCTGCTCGGGACCGTCCACGGCGGCACTCATAACTAGCGCGGCCTCCTCGACCGATCGAGCGACCAGTGGCGCGATCAGTCGAGCGACCTGTCGCCAGCGAGATGGGTCCGCGACCAGTCGCGCGACTGGTCGTGGACTATTAAAGATGCCATAGCGGTGACATTATGATGTCGCGAACAGAAGTAACAAGTTGTACAAGTTTCAGCTTATTTTGGA